GAGGAGGGAGGGAGGAGGAGGTGTGTGGAGAGAGAGAGAGAGAGAGAGAGAGAGAGAGAAATCCTCTTCTCGTGTGCATCAAGGAATGTTCAAGGCTGATTGAAAATTTAAATCGAATACCAGACAAGTATCGATCGTTCATCGTACCGAAAATCTAAACGTACCTCCGCTCCTTCCTTAGACGAGAAATCTTAGGATCGAAGATCGCGATTTTGAAACGTGTATTAAAATACATTCGTGTAAAAATTCGTGTTTTTTTAAGCTTTCAATCGCGGAAAATGGGTGATTGAACTCGAAGCTTGATTTAGTGTCGTGTGGGAGATATATATTTTTTTTTTTTCTAAAAATTCCACTCGTTTTTATTTAAATATTTCGAAGTTGAGGAAACATTATTCGAGATAAAACGTATCATTCGGTTCGGAATTGTTGAAATTTATCAATGTTTTGAATGTAGCAACAGTGACGTTTAAGATTATTTTGAATTATTACATAAACCACTTGACGTATTATTATTTGCAATAGATGAGAAACGTAGTTGTATCGGATAAAAATGATGATAAATATTTCAAAAGCAGAGATGATTTATTTTGTTATTATTACGTACACTTTTTTCAAGATATGATTTTTATACTCTTATTTTCTTTGATCAACGACAAAAAAAATTTAATAATAACTGTGAATATAAATATTTTTATAAAGTTTTTCTTTTTTTTTTCTTTTTTTTTTAATTAATTTCAAAAGTCATTGAAAATTCATTCGAAGAATTTATGCTTTATCTTTAATTAATTATATAATTAATCAATTTCGAAACACGATGAATTATTTTATTATTCAGTTTTATCAGTTTGTATGGAGATAGATATGAGATTTAATAAATAAAAAAATTTAATCATAATTTATATATATATATGATAAATAAAAAAAAACAGTGATAAATATATAATTTTATAACCTTATCGTTGATCCTGTTGATAAACTTTTATAATCAAAGATAACAAGACACATAATATGTTTATATATTTTTAGATTTTTATCATACATGTTTGTAATTGAATTAACAATTAATTTTTTCAACGTGATTTTTTTTTTTTTTAGATATAACGAAAACATACATACAGCTGTAAAGTTTGCCATACTTTACACAAATTTCGACGGAGAAAAAAAGGAAAAGGAAACATAGTAGCGTATCATTCGAATAATCATTTTACAAAAAGAAAAAAAAAATAGCCATTTCGTGTTACACGGTTATACGTATGGTCGAAGGGGTCAAGAGTCAAGACTCGAAGCAAGATGGGGGTCGAAAATAATTTAATGACTACGAATGGTGGTCTTGGGAAAATTGGCAGTGCAACGTGGACGTTGGTGAAACGACGAGCATCGAGGAGAGACAAATACAATACGGTGAGAGTTATCGGGAATCGGCCCGGGTCCCATTTTCGTCTTTAAACGTTCCATAAAAAGAGCTGGACACGATTTACGTTTGATTATAGTCCCAGACTCGGGTCAAAAGTCGGTACGAAATGACTATCGATACGGGGGATGATGGGAGCGACCAACTGCAGATTACAGGTAATGACTAATAATGATATACCGCCAATCTCTGCCGTGGAATCGGCTGTCCCTCTTCAAAAAGGGCGGCGAAATACACGATAAGATTTCCTCCCGACCGGTATATAAAATTTAACAGTTAATAATTCAGAGGTGATAAGTGTTCTCGTGTGATCGATACTCCCCGCGCTCGACTTTTCTGCAATTTTGCTTTTATAGAAATTGAAGTCTGACCTAGTTGAAATTCCG